GAAGATATATTTTTACGATTCTCACCATAATTTATTTTCTCATCATAACTCATCCTAGCCTCAATAGGCTAAAATAGGTCTAGTCTAGAGATGGCCAAAATGGTCCAGTCCAACTCAGCTTACCGGGACGGTAGGGACCGGTAGTCCCGGACCGGTTATGTTTTTCTAGGCAAATCACGGTTTGATTTGAGACCATTAATCCATTATACATAGGCCCGATTTAAAAAAATTTATAAATTATATATCATGTTTTTCAATATTTATAAGAATTTCAAGTTTTTTAATAAGTTTTTTTCTTAAGTTCTCCTTTGACATTTTCCGAAGTTTGTAAAATAGTTAAGCATCAAATTTCAAAAAATCAATTATAAAAACATTTATAACATTTTTATGTAAAAAAAATTGAAAAAATATTTTCAAAATGCATTTTAATAACCCACTTAGAGATTTTAAAATATTTCAATAAAATATTGTGCAAAAGAAAATCTTTAAACAAGATTTTTTATACGTTCAAAATTGATTTTTGAAAAAAATAGGGTCGAGACTATGACGGTTATAGGGATTGGTTAAAATACGTGGAGACCAGACCATGATTTTTGGTTGGGACGAGGACCGGTTACGAAAAGGGAATCAACGATTGGCCTAGCCCAAGATCGAGTTTTGGCCATCTAAATCCGTATTTTACTTCGAAGCTAAACTACATTCCTATATATATATATATATTACTAACTATATCCTTGTCTACTAATTTTCTTACATACATCAATATCAAAACTCATTTTTTTTAAATTTTGCAGTACCTTTTGTTGCCTCTCTCTCACGTCCCTCCCGTTCACAAATTGGAAGACTGCTCCCTGTCTCTCCGCCACTACCCTGATTTAGCCCATTTCTTTCTCTAACAATGAGAAACAACATTGCGGTTGACGAAGTGACAACGAGGACAATATGACATCAAATTTGAGGATTATCGTCCTTGAACTTCTACCCAATTCAAACTCTCAATTGCATCGAAGATCTTACACAATTTTAGAGGTTTGATTAGAGTTACGATTTTGAGTTTTTTTTATTTAGTTTAAGGTATTATAAACAATCTCATTTTATACACTGATATAGCGATAATAGACTCATATTTGCTCATGGACTTGGTTCTTCTCCGATTTGTGTTTGTGCATATGCATATGTTTTTAGTAACGCATAATACATCAATGATATTCCCCATACGTTTATATTGAGTATATTCAATATAAAGAGTAAATTACACTTTCGCTGTTATGGTTGTCATTGGCTATCAATTTTAGTATCTCTTTTAAACTAATTATAATTTTGGTCATTATGGTTGCCATTTTGTTTCATTTTTGGTCCATTTGACGACCTTTAGTTAAAAAGGTTAGGCTTCCAACATATATTGAGAAGAAAATATCCAAGTTTAGCTGAGGCGAGACTCCAACACGTCCGCTCCAACGAATGAGAGGTAGGTGCAAGGGCTAGACGAGTACTGCCGCAAATTGTCGAGTCCACAGAGTGGTAGAACTTGACTCTATATCATGTGAGAACACATGAACCCCGATAAATTGAATCGGATTCAAAAATTTCAACATTCAAATTGGATCGGTCGGTTCTTGGATGACAGTCCAGCATCCAATAAACCGAACCGATTCAATCCAACCATCATCCAATTTCCCATCCAACCATCATCCAATTAATAACTATATATAATTATTAACATTTTACAATATTTTGTTAGTTGATATGTATGTACGTTGTTTTTTAATAATAACTTAAGAAAATATATGAATAATTGGTAGAGTATTGGATCAAAAGATTGGACGAACCTAATAGATAACAATTAATTATTACAAACCAATTTTAACTAGAAGTGTTCATCAGTTGAAATTCAATGGATTTAGATTGATCCAATCCGATCCAATTATCCACTGGATGTTAGATTTTGTTATCCGATCCGATTAACATTGGACATCCGAACCAATCCAAATTCAATAGATGGAACCGATCCGCTCCAATCATCCATTAGATTTGGATGGTTCGGATGTCCAATGTTAATTGGGTCGGATCGGATAACAAAATAATACTAATTTGACTCATATAAGATTTGTGAACAACATTAGAATGAGTCGATTTCCAAACCGTTGTAACACACTTTTACATGAAAAATGTGTAAATAACATCAAAGATACAATTCTATATGTATAATTACATGTAATAATCACAAAATATATGTGATTATTTCCATGTATATATATATATATATATATATATATTTCCACAGATTCATTGTATATTATATCTATACACGCTTCCTTTCTCAATCTTTCAACTCTCACCATAAATACTAAACTCCTCCAATTCCATACCAAACTAAATTGCGATTTTCAGATGTCGACTCCGGCCGCCGCTGCTTTCATCCGCCGTTTATGCAAAATCACCGCCAACTGTTCCCTTCTAAAAACCCTTCCCACCACCACTTGTGCCATCTGCATGGACGATTTCAACTGCCAAGACCTGCTTCTCCGGCTACCAAATTGCCACCACATCTTCCACCGCAAGTGTATCCTCCCATGGTTCTCAAGAAACAACACTTGCCCACTCTGCCGCCGTGTCTTTCCGCCGGAAAAGCCCAAGATTTATTCTATCCCATTGAGATCCCATATTCTCCGTATACAGCATCGATCACCGTTCTCTCAGCAGTCAACTAACACCGTCCTCCATCTAAATTTTCACCTTCGATCTGATCAGTCGTCTTCATCAACAAACTCCGATCCTCCACAGCCATTGCCGTCGCTAAGGCCGTTGGAAATTATGCTTCTTGCAGAGGGTTTACCGGAGCTGGCTAGTCGTGCCAGTGGGCCGTTTTGGATTTCTGCCGATTTAACCAGCAATGTACCGCCGGCCGGTGATCATCAACGTGATTAATTTGTAACCTTGGATTCTTTATAATTTGTAGGGAATCGTATTGTTTTGAGTCCGAAGATCATGTTTCTTGAAAGGTTTTTAGAATTAATTCTTGTATTTGGTTCTTGGTATCATGCATATGTAATTAAGATCTTGAAACCCTTTTCTTGTTTCTTCAAGATTCTTGATCTTTTAATATTTGTTGCAATGTTTTTTATAGATTCTTTATGAAATTCATATAATTCTTAAACCTTATGTCTTTCAAACCTTTTACACTTAACGTTATCGCGTAACCCATTCACATCCCCATCGTCATCCACTCTTTACCACCGTCATTGGCCTTGTCTTCAGTCTTCTTCTTTTTGGTAGTTTTTTTTTCTTCCCGATTATACATCTTTTTTATTTATCTACACGTACTTCATTACATTGTTGTAAAAGAGGGAGAATTGAAATATAAAAAAACTGATCAAAAAAGGAAGACCGATGGTAGAGGCGAACAAGCGTGATATCAACATGGAGAACAAGCAACGATGGAGGCTGCAAGAGGCGCAAGGGAGAGCAATGACAATGGACACATGGGGTTTGAATGACTTATTATTTGAAAATGGTAAAACTAATTTAGATTTTTTTTTCTAGCCAATTATTTTTAACTTTTTTAGATTAAAAATATATAAATAATCAATTTTTAAAAATTCAATGGTTTGTTTATTGAAAAAAATGTCAAAAACTAAATCAATCCAAAAATACAAAGTTCATTTATTTATTAAAAAAATTCAACAATTTAATTATCAAAAAATAATAAAAAAAAGTTTGTTAGGTTTTTTAAATAAATACGTATATTATTTTGTTAAAATTCTAAACAAATAGGTATTTGACATGAAATCTACGTCATCCTCCAAAGTTAAAGGAAAGGGGTTGTTGGTAAATCTATAAATACTTTTTTTTTTTACCACAGGTTCAAGTTTTGTGAGGATAATTTGATGGGTTTTTTAGGGTAAAAAAAAGTAGTGTTTTTTTTACCACCGGTTCAACTTTTGTGGGAACACTTGCAAAAACTTGCAAGAAGTCATTTTTTTTAAAGATTTAAAAGAAGTTTGAAAATCTTGTAGACATACTGAAAACTTAATGTATAATTTATAACAACTTGATCTTCTTTTCGGAAAAAATCGAACCTATTTAACCGGTCCCAGACCCGATCCTAGTTCTGGACCCATTTTAGCCATCTATATGAATCATTGCACATTCCTTTGAGATTGGGCCCATTATCTGAATTTCCACATCCCATCCGGAGCTCCTATAAGATAAAACTTATAATATTCTTTAAAATAGAGAAAATAGAAGGGTTTTATTCTCTATAATGTTCTTTAAAATGAAATTAAAAAAAAAAATTAAGTTCAAAAAATTCTCTAAAACTTGATGTTCTAAGAGTTAATATTTTTAATCATTTTCACTAACAATATTGAATTGTTATTATTTTAAATAAAGTTTTCTTTTAAATGCATTTGGATATAAAGTTAAAAAATATTTTAATAATATATTTATTATTAAAATCTTTAAAATAAAAAATTGTTATGATTAAATGTAATTCTTTTTAAAAAATTATAACTTTCGATTCTCTATTTAAAAAAAAATAATAATAAATCGTTTGCAGATATTCACTCTTACAACATATGTTCTTATATGAATTTTTAAGATGGTTACATGTTTTTATCCGATCACATGTTTTTATAAATGATTGAAATTTGTGTTTTTTATTTGATAATAATATGATGAATTTCTATGTATTGAATAATTTGGAAATAACTAAGACACTGATGTCACAAACATGGCTGCTAATCTTGTATTTTTTTTGTTAAATATTTGTGATTCATTAATTTTACTTTTGGATTTTTTCCATTATATCTATATCCACCTGTAATCTTTTTAATTAAATCCATAAGATTCAAATCTCATCAACAGGTAATTGGCTTAACTGATTGTGTTCAGCCTTCCAAAAGATCAAAAATCTAAGTATTAAAAGATGAAATATATACATAAGTATTTGTCATATATTAATATTATATAATTAAAAAAATCTAATTTATGGTCGCAATTACTCAAATTTGACAAAGTCCCTCTCATGGAAAATAGAAAATGACATAAAGCCTACCGTCTTACGTCTAAATGATACCAACTTTGACCTGATTTCTATCTTGAAAACGAACTTTTAAAATATCCGTTTGCAAAGACTTTATAAATATTTAAGAGTCTCGAGTACCATTTGATATGGTTTACTATAAATATACATGCATAAGTATTTGCACCATCATCCATTTCAGTTACCTTGAACAATTGCTGAGAAGAGCATCCTATTAATGTCCTCTGAACCTTCATCAATCTCATCTTCTGCAATTACAAAATGTTTATAATTCCCAGAAATTTCAAAAACAAAAACTTGATCAAAATTTGAAGTTAAAAAACAACACAAATGTGTCGTTTGTTTTCAATTGAACCTAAAATACCAATTTGTGTGCGAGATTTACTGGATTTGTTTGGTTTGATTTCATTACCTGTTCTGGATCTCACTTGCACTGTCCATTCATCAATAACCTGTTTATCATATTCAAATATGTCAATAAATGATCTTAACATTATTTTTCAACATAAAAGAATTCAAGAAACAAAAAATGTAGCAAGTTAAGCCCCAAATACCAACCACACATAAGTGTAACAGTTGCCAAGATTCTAGGTGGATCCATCCCTCAACAATTCCTTTTCATGGTCTATTTTAAGTAAATTTTGGTTCTTAAATCACAGATGTAATCTGTGGGTTGAAATATATGTTGGTGAGAGTTGAAAATTTTGCAGAAACAAATACATCCACCTAAAATTTTAATCATCACTGTTTTGCAGCCAGCCATGGGATATATTGCCATCATAAATTTAGGTTGTTCACTGGCAAATAGTGCAAAATCTATAAGCACAACTTGGAAAACACAACCATGGAAACTTGATAGATATAACAATGTTTTTATTTCAGTCTCTCTTTTTTTTATAAATCAAGAGAAACTAAAATGCATATCCATGCCTTTAAATAAGAGCAAATTAAGCATCACCTCGTTAAAGTTCGTATAAGCAGGATCGTCAGAATCACTGATGATGGGGATACCCATGGAAGTTTGCAACCTTCGCAGTGATGCTCTGTTCCCAACTATAGTTGTCCTTGCTTTGTCAATCAAATCCTACAACACAATCAACAAGGAATATTGTATTTAGTTCTAGTACAAATACAGTCTTGTAAGGAGACTTATTTGTCCTGATATAGATTTTGCAGCAAGTTTGGTTGTCGGTTCATGAACAATGCTGTGTAGAAGCATATGGATGCAATGTATTGGATCATGATATTCTAACTAAAACCTCTTCAAGGATTGAATTTTGAAGAATTATGCAACAAATTGGGCATGCACAATATGTACAACCCAACTTGAGGGGAGTGTTGATAGTTACCCAAATTCCACAGATTGTTATCCATGATAAAGAGTACATTAGTATAAATTTCTTGATGAAGTATATAATAAGTTGTATACTTCAGTTAATTTCAATCAGAAGAGAATACATACGAGTTCTCACAAAATCTTCACTAAGCAAGCATAATGCATGTCTTGCTATGAATAACTATCCTCTATGAGATGGCCCTAAAAGGTTACAAGTTATAACAATGGTTGAATTTGAACCTGAGACCTCTTAAATCTCTTAAACCAAGGTCCCAAGCCTTATCCGCTAGGCGAACCTTTGGGGTCTATAAGACGCCCCTATCTAATACTCCACATTGAAATTCACGGCATAGTCATGATTCATGAATTCAAGACTCATTGGCCGAAGACACAACTTCTATATCTTCTTTTCTCTTGCACTAAATGAATCTTCTTAAAGATACTTTTGGCTACCTTTACTGTAATTACACATTGACCATGGACATATATAACATCATTTCAGCACACATATCACAAACAATATATAATAATACCACAAATTAACCCACAAGAAATTTTCTTCTAAGAGGTCAATTTCAGCAATAATTGTTCTTCTAAGAAATTGTTTCTTAGGATAAATACTTCTAGCCTAAGCTTTAGCAACTAGTTGGTAGTGGCTGAATGACAGTAGCTTTTTATCATATTTATCGACTTATTTTATATCGATTACTTTACGAACAGGACCCGGTGAATTTAGTGGTCTTAACAAACCAGAAACCCAGCTTTAGGTTAAGCAAAAGAGAACCGACTTAAATTAGATTTTTTTTTCATCTAACCTGCTTGGCGGAGAGTAATTCTTGGCATTGCTCTTTTAGAGATGGTAATTCATCTTGGATTTTCTTGATCCTAGACACAAGTTTCATCGGATTTGCCTGCAAATTGAAAGTTGGATGCAGACATAACTAATTTGAAAACTTCATTTAACTAAACCCGAGAAAAGGAAGAACAAGTTACGTTATCAGGATAGATCTGTCGGAACTCCTTGTCGAGGCGGTTGTTGACTACAGTGAGATCGTGGTTGGCCTTGGTAAACAAGTTTACCAGTCCGTCGACGGCATGGTGGTGGTGGTCGCCTTCGTACCCCATTTCCGCCCTCTTTGGTGTGAATGCGTCACTGCGTGTGTGCTCAAATGCGAAAGCGGGAGGTTGCGATGCCAAGGGTTTTGAAAGTTATGAAAATCATTGGAACTTAATTTTTTTTACAAATTCGTCCTTGTACTGTGTAGAGAAAATTGCACCAAAATGGAACCAACTTTTACATTATTCTTGTTTTAGGGAACGAACTTTCAAAATTATCATTTTGGGAACCAATTTTCACCTGATTCCTATTTTGGAGAACCCACTTTTAAAATTATAATTTTGGAGATTCAACTTGCACCTAATTTCTATTTTGGGAAACCAACTTGCAAAATAATTATAGAAAAATGGAAAAATTATACCAAAATGGAACCAACTTTCACCTGATTCCTATTTTGGGGAACCAACTTTTAAAATCGTCGTTTAGGGGTCTCTATCAAACTTTTTGTTTATTTAAGGGTCTGATTGATCTGTTGAACATGTAACAGATAATTTAAGGGTCTCTATCAAACTTTTGGTTGGATTTGCCAAATTTGATTTAAACTTTAATATTGACACATATTGGTTAGATATAAAAATCTTGAATGTGATATTTAATATTTATTTTTTATTGCATCAATTAAATTTTTTTTATTAAATTAATTTTTTTATTGCATTAGTAAAAAATAATTTTTATCGTGATAATTTGGATTTTTTTCGAAAAATCTTCAATTTGATATCTGAATTTAAAAAAACGATATTTGAAATGAAAAATATATTTTATTGCATTAATTTTTGAAAAGAAATGAATTTTAGTTATTTTTCTATAATTATTTTGCAAGTTGGTTTTCCAAAATAGGAATCAGGTGCAAGTTGGTTCCCCAAAATAACGATTTTGAAAGTTGGTTCCTCAAAATAGGAATCAGATCCAAGTTGGTTCCTCAAAATGACGATTTTGAAAGTTGGTTCCCCAAAATAGGAATCAGGTGCAAGTTGGTTCCTCAAAATGACGATTTTGAAAGTTGGTTCCCCAAAATAGGAATCAGGTGAAAGTTGGTTCTCTAAAATAAAAATCAAGTGAAAGTTGGTTCCCCAAAATGACGATTATGAAAGTTGGTTCCTCAAAATAGGAATCAGGTTAAAGTTGGTTCCATTTTGGTGCAATTTTCCCTACTATTTAACAACTTACAACTTAAACCCAAACAATCTCATTTATTACATTTATGGTCCAAAATAGAGCTATTTTTAAAATTTAATTTTCCTTATAGAATACAAATTTGTTTGTATATCTCAATGGCACAATCAGCTTATTCATACATGCAAAATAGGGTGTTTATTTGTGGCTTATTCGTATAAATAAAAATAATATGTTGTTCATATACAACTCAAAAAAAAGACACCTTGGCCCCTAACTTTAAACACACCTCCTTCCATGACACGCCTCTCAATACTTTGTTTAACCTTATTCGCTGAAACACACTCCTACCCAACAACCATCCTCTTTACTGTCATCCTTCCATTATGGTGATCGTCGTCCTTCCTTTCCGGCATCGTCGTCAACTCCCCTTTCATCTGCAAAGGTATTGATTTCCTTCTTTCTTTTATGTGTTATTTTTTTCTACATCAATTTCTTGATTGATTTGCTCTTCCATGGGGTGTTTATACATGTGGTTGGAGCAGTTGCACACAAATTTTTAGATTGATTTCTTTCTTTTTTCTACAACGATTTGTTATACAAAGGGATTGATTTTAGGGGTTTGTTAAAACCGAATGACTCGAAACCAAACCCGAACAAAAAATAAGATGTTTATGCAAAACCGAAGACCCCAAAATCCGAAAATTTACTTTTGGAGGAAAATTTATTTTGGGTTCACCCAATACTTCCTTAAACGATCATCATCTCCATCTTCATCCTCGTGTACAGGAATGGATTGTGTGAGATTCTTTGAAATGGGTGCATAGGAAAATGATCAGGGTAATCGTGGAATTATTATTACATTCAAGAACTTGTCTTCTTGAATCTCAATATAAAAAACCAACTTCTTGTCTCTGTAGTTGCTCCAGTTTGCTTTCTTCTCCAATTTACGATCTTTTGAAAATTCTCTGTGTCTTGAGACGGATATAAGATTTGCGTACGTCTTACCCTACTCAAACCCTACCTCCAGATGAAATATACCGAGTTTGTTTGGTTTTACAGGCTTTCCAGTAACAACTCCCCTTATCAATTTATACCAACGTCACGTCAGCCTTAAAAATGATCTGAAAATTACTCTCAACTACAAGGATTTCTTATCAATTTCTTAAGTGATATCTTATCGTAAAGAACTATATGTCAATCAAATAAAACAAAACTACAACTTTTAAATATTTTTTACTATAACTTAATACCAAATGGTTTATTAATTAAATAATTATAATAAAGTCAAATTAATTAATTAAATAAAATATTAATTTAATTTAATTTATAAAATATTTTTATTCAATAAATAAATGTAAAAAATTACACTTTAAAAAAAATTATACTCGGAACCAACAAAAAGTACTGATATGTAACCATTACCAAAAACCAATTTCCTAATTAAAAATTATACTCAGAACCAACATAAATTTTTAATTAGAAATCCTTGTAATGGATGCTCAAATGGATCTGATATTGAAATTGGGATGATGAGTGTAGCAAATTTCTGCAATCAACCAACAAAGAGTTCTTTCATAGGCCTATCTCACGAAACCTTGTCTGTACAACATTACAAGCATGATAGAATTGAAGCTTCAAGCAGTGATTCTTGCCACAAAAATGAACAAATTTTTTCCGTTTCGTTCTACAACCTCCGATGAGTTCTTATGAAGTTGGTCGTGTTCATATCCAAAGCCGTCGAGCATGCGTGGGCTCCAGCCAAGCACACGGCCGTTGACAGCAAAAGAAGCGCCTTCCACTGCCTCCCAGATAACAAAATTGCAAAAGTCAAGGATACAGCAGCAACCACCGAGAACCTGTTCTTCCATGCCTCAAAAGCTTTCAACACACTCCGACATTCTTTACAATGAACCACGTGCCGGAAATACCTATTGGAAAGATTTGGTGCGTGTTTTGTGCCGATTCCGCCCTTGGCCGGCGATGAAGCCGCAATACTGGCAACAAAACCAGCAGGAGCATGTTCCACAACTGCAGCCTCTTTTGGCATTGAAATAGTGGTGTGCCCAAAATGGTAAGGCATTCCATGGCCAGCTTTATCCATCCATTTTCTATACTCAGCTACCCATGTATCTGAGGATCTTAAGTTGATATAAAGTTCTTTTGTCGGCACTTTTTCTCGCATCAAAATCTCGTTTTGAGACGATAGAAATCCCATATCTTGTTCGAAAACTTTACCTGCATTTTGATGGAAGTACCATGCTGGGAAAAGGCTAGCTAGCGGTGATCTTTTTGTGTTTCCAAATCTCACAATAAGCATAGATTTCCCTTGGCCTGTTGGTCTGCATAAGAAAAGGCCCGAAAAGTAATTTGTGACCCCATTTTTGTCGACAATCTCACGGTTGTTCTGGAGATTACATGGTGCCTCGAATCTTAAGAAGTTGGGTGTGGTTTTTTCGGCTTCACGACCCCACCAGCCAGCAAACCCGCGATCGGTTCTTTCTGTAACCTTGAAAAGTAGTGGTTGGGCGTCTTCCCTTTTGGCACTCCAGTCGGTTCTATCGTGTGAGATGGGGACATGGGCTGGATCCATGAGGTTTTCTAGAAGAATGGAATGATCATAAGGAAGCTCGTGAATGGTTGAAATATCACGAAAATCAGGGCGGGCAAAGTTTTCAAACCATGGGATTTTAGCAGGATTTGGTGGGGTTTTATGTGACATCCATATCCACACAACACCTTGGGAGTCCTTCACCTCAAATGTCTTGGTACAAGCTGATCTAGGAATTTTTGCATCTGCAGGAAGCTGTATGCATGCCTCATATTATTGCAAATACACCAAACCAACCTGAGGAATCTTGTGGGATATATGCAGATAAACAAGATATAGAAGGGAGATAGAACAATGGATCAAAAGTCCGTCAAAAATTTAAAAACCAACCTGAGGAATCTTGACGCATTTGCCATTGCCTTCAAATTGCCAGCCATGGTACAGACATTCTAGTCTTCCATCAATCAACTGGCCTTCGGAAAGTTTTGCTAGCCTGAATCAATTAACACATTATAATGCTGGCAGAATCAGCTGATCAAGAAAAGATAAGCAAATGAGGAGAATCTTTGAATAACAACAAAGAAACAGGCTCTAAAGACGACGGATACAGTCATTCTACTCTTTGGAGGAGATGTAAACAGGTCTGTGAACATCCCACCTCCAAAAGTTCCAATAGTTTTAAGAAGCAAGAGAGACAGACTACAAGGTAGAACACAGACAATTCCTAAGATATATGACAAGCATGTTAGCTGCAGAAATGGGTTTATATGAAAAAAAATGGGATTTGCGGATTTGGGTCTGAAGTTGAAGATGAAGAAGAAAAAGGATGAAGATCAACTGTTCAATTTATTGGATTGATTCTATTTGACTTCTGTTTTATTTGATTATCGATCTAACTTTGATTATTGGTTTAATATTTAAGTTGGATAACCTTTAAACTATGCATAATTCACAAGTAACCCTATTAACGATCTAAGCATTGTACCAAAGCAATTGCGATCATGCGAAGAAAACTACAACTTATCAAGTTGAAGTTAAAAAGTGCCAAGAAAGCTACAATTTATCAACAATTATGGATTGCTACACCCAATTGGACAAATTGGATTTGATCATAAGAGTATACTAAAACCCTTGAACGTACAGATTGCTATGAACATACGAGATGAGATAGAAATCGAGTTTAATTTCTTGAATTACCTGTGAGGGCAACGATCTTCGTAACATTGAAACTCTCCATTGCCATCACGAAACAACACAACTTGTTTATCAAAAACGGTCAAACCCAAAGGCGCATCCTCTGGTACATCCTTAGCTAGATACAACGGATACCATTCTTCTGTCCAATCATAATCCACCACGTCAACTCTCCCTTTCTCCTCACCAACAAGAACATCTTCTTTCCCGATCTCCGGCGATGCGACGGCAGCACACCTGACTGTGACTGGCCATTTTCTGGATTTTCTGAAAGCTGATGATTTGGTGGTCTGCAAGAGGGTGACGGAGGGTGTTCTGCAATTGGAAGCGTTGGAGTAGAGAAATGGGTGTTGGAGCAGCAGAGCCATTGATGCAATGAGTGATTTGGAGATGACAAGCAGGGAAAGGCATTTGAGGAGGGGAAGAAGGAAAGGTCTTTTTGCTTCTGGTGTTGGAGCACCATTTTTGGCCACACGTTATGGAGAGGAGACATACACACCATTTCAGCCTTTTATGACACAAAAAAAAAAAGAATTCAGACCTAATTTTTACATTATGTTTTTATTACACTGGACGTGATAAGATAAAACAGATATTTATCATCTTATTTTTGGTGCGTCACTAATTCTCTCATCAACCAATCTCACCCTTACTCCTTCATACCTATATTTGTGTACCAAACACACCCTTAAGATTTACTATAATTTGTAGGACTGAATATGGGTTAAGTTGGTCGAGTTGAAAATATTTGAATAACTCAATCTAATGTTTGTAGTTTGGAAAATCCCAACCCAAACGAAACAAAAATACAACCCAACCCGATTGGGTGGAGTTGGGTTAGTCGTGTTGGTCGGATTGAAATTTTGGTACACATATTTTTGTTACATTGAATATGATGCTTTCTTAACTCATAATTCATTTATTCATTTAATTTTTTTAATTAATTTAATATATATATATATATATATATATATTATTTTATGAATAAATATTTTGTTTGTAAAAAAAATACAACATTTCTTATTTTCCTTGTTTAAAGAATATATTTTTAAACAATTTTTTTAAAATATTAGCGAGACATATTGTGATCTAAAAATCTTCTTAATATTATTATACTAATGAATAATTTAGATTTTTTAATTAATTTAACATATTAATTAAACAATGTAAATTTAATTTTTTTGAAAGTATAATACCGTAATAAAAAATGTCATGTCACCAATATATTACATATGCACGTCTCATGAGGACAATGACAAGGCATGACAACCATGAGGACAATGACAAGGCATGACAACCTGATAACCAACATACTATTTTAGTTCAAATAAAAATGTTATTTATTGTTATAATGGATGAATTTTTCAATGTATAATGTTTTAATAAACAAATAATTTGAAATTATATTATTGTAATAACCAAAAAAAAAGGGAACAAAAATATTAACGTAAAAAATTGTCACATTTTGAACATAATACATATAAAACAAACACATTGTGAATGTTAATCAATACATTAAATACTATATTTATATGAAAAAAATCATGTTAAACAAAAAGTTAAGATATAAGTTCTCATTGATCTCACAAATTTTAGAGTTCTCAAAATTTTAAGACCTTGTATATTATATATAATATAAATTATAATAAGTATAAACTTAAAAATATGAAAAAGAAGTTGTAAAAAGACAATATTACCCTTGTCTTAACGGGTCATTGGTTAGTGAAGTTAAAACAAGAGACCCAATGTATAACAAAAGTAAAACTATAACAATCATACATATAATTATTTTGTTTAGAGATCGAATCCAAAATTTTCAATAATCACATGGACGAAATTTATAACTGAATACCTGATCAACTGATCTTGTATGGGGCCTCATTGAAAATCTTTTTTGAGAATCAACCCATTATTTTTATACCATATTCTATAATCTACTGAGTGAGCTAAAAAATGTCTTTTTTTTGTGTTTTGGAGATGAGTTTTATATGAAATCGGTTGAAATGGTCGGTGATCAACCTTTTTTATTCAAATAATAATTATAGTGTGATGTGTGATAAAAAAAAACAATGTTTTTATATGGATTGTTACTTGAATTTGATGTAATCAAATATTAGATTTCCAAGTTTTTCGTAATTTTTGATTATTTGAAATACATAAAATGGCTTAAAAGTAACATTCTTATATATTATTGATGTAAAATAGTATGTGAAAGTTCTTAAATCATGATAAGAAAAAATATGGGTGAATAAGTATGTTTTTATATGACATATTTTATGGAGGTATTAAGGGGTCGTTTATCAAACGTTTATTTGATAAGTGTTTATCAAGTCATATTACTTTATCAGATGAAAATAACAAGGACTAAGAATCTCACCTTGTAAGAACAATGACAATAACTGAAAGTCTACCTTGTAAGTGAGAGTGATAACTCTTACCATATTAACACTTACATGATACATTGTTGCATATTATGCTATTTTGATGGACTAAGATCTTATCCAATAAAGTAAATGATATTGTTGAATCTTATCGGTAAGCACTTACCAGTCTAAGGGGCTATTTGGTTCAGACGAAGGAATGGAAATGAAAATCAAAATGAAAATGAAAATAAATTTTCATTCATCCTAATTTAACCTGTAAAGAAAATTTGGCCTTGTTAGAGAATGAACCCATTATATCATATAAAACCAGATAATTTCAACTGTTTTCTCATTTGTTACTTCTTGATACTTTTTAACCAAACACCCATAAAACCAGATAATTTCATTTGTTTTCTCATTTGTTACTTCTTGCTAATCTTCCGACAACTTTAAGCACTTTTTTCTACTATCTTTTTAAAGCCTTTTTATATTTTTCTTATAGTACTTGTTTGCTATTGTAACACCCATAAAACTGATATATGATGAAATACCAAAGAAGGACCAGGAAATTGGTAATGGAGTATAAAAATATGAGTTTTACCCAAAAAAAGGAAGTAAAATAAGCTAGTTAATTACATGCATAAATAAATGGTTTGAGGATAATAACCTTCTAATCTAATCTAATCCTCAAAAGAACTAGATGATGGTCAAAGTGTCATATAAACTGTCAAAAGATGGAACCAACACAAGGCATCTCAAAAGGTCCTCACTAGAATCTCTTTAATGGTGGCCAATCAAACCTCTCTAGCGATCCCGCCACTAGAACCTGAGATACATGCCGACAAGAAACAAGTGTTAGACCAAAAACCCTAGTGAGTTTGTACATAATCATAAGTGGTAAGATATACAAGATAATATCAATTAGTAACCATAAATCCGTATTTGGTTCTATTCACAAGTCCACAAATTCCATCCCCTTGGAGACAACGTGGGAGACTCGTAACCATTAAGAGTGGCGGGAACACAAAAGTATGTCTCTCATCCAATGTTATTGCATGACACTTCAAGACACAATTTTTAACGGCCTTTAACCAAATTTCACCTCAAAATTAGGTTGACCTCCGTGTTTATTCTTGTGAATAATACCTCAAGGCTCACATACTCAGTGCCTACTCTATAAGTAGCATCTCAAGCATAATAGGTTTTAGTGTCTACCCTTCCGAGTAGCACCTCAAGACTCAACACTCTTAGTGTCTACTTGAAGAGTTCTTTCAATCATAATTTCCAAGCAATATCCATTCATCCAAAAGTGAGGGAAAACAAACCCACAAGTAGGGGTGCTTAAAAACCCGATCAACCCGACCAACCCAATCAACCCAACCCAACCCAACGCGAAATAACTCAACCCGAAGCAACCTGATGTCTAATCAAGTTGTAAAATTGTCAAACCGTAGGTATTGAGTTGATATTGGGTTACTATTATTTGAACCCAACCCAACCCGACGAACCCGATATCCTTTTATTCTTTGATTCAATATGATTGTTGAATTTTTATTAATATATACATTAGACAATTACACTATCATATATGCTGTTTATATACACACGTTTTCAATCTATTCACATCTCTATATAACTCATTCGTATATATGTTCAGTAACTGTGAACATATATATGTAAAATGAGAAAATTAACTGAATGTGATATACGTAAGAAATATGGATAAGTTGTATCAAATGGTTGATGATGAAAAAGAAATTATGAGTAGAGAAATAATATATTCAAAGTTAGAAGAATATTTTAATATACCAAAGTATCAACCCAACCAACCCGTACGGGTTGGATTGGGTTGGGTTGCACTTTGGTTTGGGTTGTGTTAATATTTTTTCAAACCGCAAGCATTGGGTTGAGTTGTTCAAATGCGATCAACCCACTCCATGAGTACCCTTACCCACAAGGTTATTCATAACAATATAATTAGAATTCGTAGGAAAATCCCTATATTAGGTAAATACGCTCAATAACTAACATATGAACTTAGTATCATAGGCCAAGTTTCATGTAATCTTTCTCAAGATAAATTCTAGCATGAGTAAAAAGGATTTCATGCTCCGTGGTGCCTTTCTCAAAACACGCATAAAACATCTTCCAAAGGACATATGACCAAGTTTCCAAATAGTTGACCTTTTTTAAAGAAGTCAAACTATGATTTTGATGTGAGCAAGAGAACTTTTATATGATTTTAAGTTAACAAGGTTGTGAATTTTTTTTAATCGACTTATTGACAAGTGGATAGCAAGCTTAAACTAACGGTCAAAAGTGTCTGAAAGTCCTAGATTCAAATCCAAAAAGGAATATAAATCCCTTTGTGGCGGTGACTCCGAGCTACCCACAAAACAGGTGATTGTTCTTGGATTAGTCAGCTCGTATAGCGGGTTGAATATCCAGGTTAATAAAAAAAAAGTCTCGTATGAAAGGATTATTACATAAATCTATAGGCATAATGTTACTTTTATGAGCCATATTTCTCCACATTTTTTTGCCGATTTTTAATACGGACGTATCATATTACTATGGTTCATCTTGTGCTAAATGATACTAATATTATTGACCACCCTTTCCCAAGTCTTTAATCGAATTCTCACACATGTAACCGAGAGTATCCCCGACTTTACATTTAAGATTGTTTGACCATTGACTTTAATGTTGGATACTTAGATTGTTGATTCCAATATTTTATAAATGTATATGAATTAAAATTAAGATTCAATATATCTTTTTTACTCTATCATTTAAAAAATATAATATTTTTAATATGTGAATTTTAGGTATCTATACTATCTTATAAAACAAATTTAACAAAAGTCTTAAAGTCTTAAAATACTAAATGACCAAAATACCCTTTATATCACTTTTTCATCTTTTCACCCCCTCCTCTCCTCACATACACTCACCCTCTCACAACCAGTTTTTTTAAAATTATAATTTTAAATTTACACTTTATACACTTATAATTAGTTAATTAATTTACTTTACGTCCTTTACTTTTAAATATTTCATTTTAAACTTTTATCAAATTAATATCATAATCGTATATCAATTAAAACATGTTTAAAAAATACATTTTTATTTTAACAAGTTACACCATTATAATCGTCTCGTTAATACCTTCGAAATGAGTCCAATATTGAATAGTTTTTGACTTAATTATATTATTATAT